CAGAGATGCAAGGATAACAATGGATTTACATTTTGATATGTACTTAGGTAGTACAATACGAATCATTTGATCTTCGCAACACGTGATCTATAATTATTTTTGCATTGGCAATAATAAAAACTATTAAAATTTTTATTTTTAAAAGCCATGGTATTTAGGAATAAAATAAAAAAAAAGTTAACAAATACGACCGGAATTGCATGAGATAATTAGATCTAACTAAAATTTTTTTTTTGTTGCACTACTTATGATTGCCAGTGTATTATGCCGAAATCACAAACTTGATCGAATCGGCTGAAAAATCATTCGGCCAGTTTTTATCATGTGTTCCAGGAATTATGAAAATAGCTGTAAAGCAAATCTATTGATGGCTAAAAAAAACGGATCACAGGCCTATAATGATAGCAAAATCGCGATTATAGGATTATCGATTATTTTATTATAGAGATTTAGAGTTATCTATTTAGATAAAAGAGATCGGTTGACCCGGCTAATTCGGTTGACCCAAATAATTCGGGTCAACCGGGTCAACCGAATAAGCTTTTGCTTAACCGGTTCACCGATTTTTTCGGTTTGGTTCGGTTACCCGATTATGGTCTAACCGGGTCATATCATTAATTGAGATCTGAAATTTTTATCACTATAAACGAGTATATTACCACTATGAAAGTCTTTATGAATAATTTTTTTTCCATGAATAACTCCGAGTCCCCTTGCTATATCTTTTAATATCTCTAGTTTTTTATCCCAAGATAAAGTAAGGGGATTTTTTGAAATATAATTATATAAATCACCATTTGGTGCAAATTGCATTACAATCATATAATTTTTTGTTTCGGGATGCTGTGTGATGCCATAATATTTGCTTATATGATTACTATCCCAACGTCCAGAACATTGGAAAAAATTTTTTAACTAAAATAAAGAAATAATTTAATTAATGAACTTTAATAATAATAAGTTACGTAAATATATATAATAGTACCAAATGCAAACCTCATTTAAAAAATCATGACTTATACTTTCTGAATCGTTAAGACTTTTAAGAACAGCACTTTTAATATTATAACTCACAAATTTTTTATCTTTAGAGTCCCATTTTCCTTTTATTTCATAATCACATGTCGCCTTATATATTTTACTAAAACCACCTTTAGCAATATAAGTAATATTACTGAATTGTTTATACGGAATAAAAACTTGTTTATTTTGTATATTTATTTTAGTAATCCAATTGTCTATAACTTCATTTCCACTTAATATTATTTGACCACAAAAGTTACATAGTTGTGCATTCTCGTCCTTATGAAACTTTGTTCTCTTGCATCTATTACATTTTCTAACTAATGGATTTCTGTTCCTAGTGACTTTATTTTTTTTGCGTAAAATTATTATCATCCATTATTTACCAATGGCAATTATAAATAAGATGCTATTATTGTTTATTTTTAAAATGATAAAATTTTAGAATTTTGAACATACGATCTATCAATTTTATATTTATTATTTAAATAGAAAGTACAAACGGGTACTTTTATATTTTAAAAAAATTTTATGATTAACAATTTATTGTGTTGAATAAGCAGAGGTCTTTTTCGATTTTTAACAGTTGCTCTACCTTGTTTAGTATATCAAAAGTGCGTCGGGGTACGTTAAGTATAACCCGAGTTTGCATAAGGAGAGCATCTTCCTGCATTGCAAATACAAAGTAAAGTTTCCTATATTTGGAAATTTACTTTGTATTCTAAACGTAGGGACGCTCTCCTTATGCAAACTCAGGTTATACTTGACACACTTTCGATGTACTAAACAAGGTAGAGTAGCTGTTAAAAATCGAAAAAAACATCTGCTTGTTGAATAAAGGTGTAAAGAATATTCCATTTTTCACTGCAGATTGGAAAATTCTTAAGTGTAACAAGACAAGAACATTCTATTTTTTCTACAAATTGCAGTCAGAATTCTTAGAACAATTTTGCGTTAAATGCTACAAATGTTTATAACTTAGACAGAAGTAAGGAAAATAGTTCTATATAATTGATGCTTGAGACATTAACTATTATTTTTACAGGGCGTCAGTCACTCTTGTTAATAGAAATAAAATAACAAATAATTAATTAATTTCTAAATTAGGCATATTACCCGGAGAATTCTTGAAATGCAACAATATTCGAGGTTAAATTGGCACTAAGCTACCGAAAATTCTATCTAGACGTATCGTTGGTAAAAAAAAAAAAAAAAAGATAAATCCGCTAATCCGATAAAATTCTAATGGCTTAACCAAACTATAAAATTTTATAGAACACTCGCAGACCAAATAAAAATAATTACATATCGTATTTACGCTTTGGTTTTTTTAAAAAAAAACAAGTTCTTTTTATTTTATAACATTGTGATAATATTCAATAAAAAAATTACATATTTACAAGAACTTGAGACTATCTTTTACAAAGCTTGAAATATAAATATTCAATAAAAAAGAAAAAAAACCTAACGAATGCATTGATATTTAATATATATTGATTTACACTATGTTATTAAACTCAATTTACTTTAGCAAAATTCATCAACCCATCTAATTGTAAAATCACGCATAGCTGTATTATCTAACCAATAATCTCCTGGGACGCTGCTTATAGCTAGTTCATCTATTGCGCGGGCATTTGCAATTGTAGGATCTACTACCTTGGCGAATGTCTAAAGAAAAAAACAATAATTTATTATTAATTTTGTATCGTATAAATGTTTGGAAAAAAATCATACGGATTCAAATTATACATACCGCTTGCAAGGATTTACCGGCATAGGGACGATCAAATGGATAACCCTAAATTAAAAGTAGATAATATTTGATTAATATATTATCAAATTAAATTTCTAAAGGAATAAATTTTTAAAAATAAAAAATTTACCATATCACGATCATCAGGATATTTAGCTGGTCTTCCATCTACAATCTTTCTACCGCACATACTTAAACTACCTTCGGCAGTACTTTCATAAGTTTTATCAGCATTCCAATCAGAGATATATACATATAATTTAAATTTCATTCCATCCCTAGTACCACGTGGAAGTAAAAGATGATATGGCCAGCCACAACCACAATAATCTAAATTATATAATATTTTTTAGAGTATTTCTTAGGGACTCGTATCAATAAAAAATAAATAATGTATGATTAAAAAAATTACCATTATCAAAGTCATCTCCTGGGGTGTCGTCAAATACTTTTTGAGCGGGTTTTCGTATAACAGAAGAGAGTTCACAAGAACGAGCGATGACTGCATCTTCTCCTGCTTTAAGTTCATATTTAAATTTATCCATTTCTATCCATTGCTTACGATCGGCAGCCAAAACCTCTGGAACAATAAATACTCTGAGAGTAACAAATTTTTTCTATTATCAATAAAAAGAAATTTAATTAATATAATTATTACCTTAACAATAATAATAATAATAATAATAATAATAATAATAATAATAATAATAATAAATAATGTTATTATTATAATATAGAGTATATATTTACCGCAGGTTCTTTAACAATTTTGTCGGCAGCAGTATCAAATGCATCTTTTGTAGTGTTATTTTTCACCTTAAAGAAATAATAAAATTCTCTAGGGAAAACATGTTCAATTTTAATAATATCATTATTTGGACCTCTTAAATTTCGAGGTACCATTTTAGTTTGTAATTCATTTGTAGCAGGAATTTTTGCAAAGTGTGTTTGACCAAATTTTTGCCATCCATCATGTGCACCCTCTGGACAAACTTTTTCAAGTTGATCTTTAAAAGCAAGAATCATGCCATCAGGTTTAATTACAACATCTGGACCATCAGTGAAAGTTCTAGCTTTTAAAGTTGTTTCAATACAACGATTAAATGTTTCATCCACCAAACGATGCCATCTGAAAAATGCAGGATCTTTGCTGGCAATAGAAACATTTAAAATAACTCCTATTGGAGGACGAAGTTTTTTTTCTTTTAATGCGTTCGCCACTTTCTCGTTACCTGCATAAATTTATTATACATTAAAAATTGGATAATAAAATATAAAATAAATTATAAATAAATTATAATAAATAACAACTATTATAAATAAATTATAATAAATAACAATTATTATTATAAATAATTAATAATAACTTACCATTAATGCCACCAACCATTATGTGACCCATTGCGTGTAATGAACCATACTTTGCTTTCCATTCATTATCTTCAAGTATATCAGGATTAGTACGATCAGGGTCAATAGTACGACCAAGTTTGTCGGGATCATTCTAAAATTTCATCAAAAAAAAGTGTAAAGTTATTTTTCCTAGCTAATAAGAATTTTTTTTTTTCATGAATTATTTATTACATACGTAAAAGACACCATCATCAATTGATTTATTGATACTTTGAAGCCATTTATCAACATTAGCAATGTTAGTCGGTGAATTAATTGAAGAATATGGTTTTCGATAATCATATTTATCTTGTAAATCAGCAGCAGTACTATTTTCGTTAAAATTTAGTAAATGTTTATTTGGTAAATATCCTTCAGGAATCGGTTCATGGTAATCTAGTGGAATAACAGGATCAAGACCGACAGCGATTCTTTCAGCATCATATCTATGTTAATAAACACACACACACATATATAATTAAATAAATTATTCAGTTCAAAATAGTCAATTTTAAATTCAATAATAATAATTAAATATAAAATTGTAATTGTTACCTTGCTAACATTTGTTTATGCATCCAAATGAACAATTCACCTTGACGATCTTTTGTGTACGCGAAATTTTTGTTGGGGAAATCAGGGTCCGCAACACCAGAAGTAACCTACAGGTAATAATTCAAAATAATTTTAATAAAAGAATGCAGATAAATAATATCGATAAAGAAAATTTAAAGCGTAAAATTTGATAATTACAAAGATGGCATGCCAATGATGATGATGTTCATTAAGGGCAGGATCTTCTCTCCACCAATCCTAAAAAAAAAAAAAAAAAAAAAAAAAAAGGAAAAAAAAAAACAATTAGGCGAGGAAACAAGGTGGTAAAAAAAAGTTAAAGGAGAACAATAACCATTTTTGTTTCCAGTCCGCCCAAAGGTAAAGATTGACCAGGTAATAGAATTACAGAAGAGATTCTCTTCAAAGATGGAGTCTTGAGACCCAATTTAATAGCGGCAGGATGATTATTTATGAAAACGTTGAAGGCATGTTTAATTAAAGCTGGATCGTATTTTAAGACTTCGTTAAGTTGGTCTTGCACTTTATCAGCTACTTTATATAATAGAGCGATTGTTTGATCATCATCTTTAGCACTAGCAAGAATTATTCTATACTCTGCATCGAGTTCCGTTACAAGTCGTTGTTGATTAAGGTCAAACTATGAATAAAAAAGATGAGAGTTGAATCGTAAAAAACTTAAATATTCACAGCATTCACAATAAAAAAACATACATTATTCCAACGTGGAGGAGCATCCTCTCCCGGTTGAAGTCTTCTACGTTTTCTAATTTTTTCATGGGGCGAATCAGTAAGAATCGCATTAATGTAATCTTGAAGTACGGTAATTCTTTTATCTGCCATTGCGTTGCTTGATTTATTGCTAGCCTTTCGATGAGGACATATTTATAGTAATTATATTTGACATCTTTTGATGTAACTCATAACAAAAATCTTTTGTAACGTAAATTATCAAACTCTCAATGATATATTTATTGTTTCTTTGAGCTATTGTACGTGGGTACGTATTTACGTACATACATACATATATTTTGAAATCGATAATTTAGGAAATATTATATCTAATAAGAGTGACTGTGGATTTTTAGTTTCCCGCACCCAGTGCAGGAAATCTATCACTCTTGCAGTTATTGATAGAGATAATCTATTAAATTAGTAACAAATGCAGGAATTAATAAAAAAAATATTACGCCAAAAAAAAAAACTAAATAATTTACAGTTCATAAATAGAGGCCTTTTTTTGATTCGAAGTAATGATTTAGGTTTCACGGTATAACAATAGAGTTTCTAGAATCGCCAATCTAAACAATTTCGTTAAAAAAAATTTTTTTTTACTTAAAAGATTAGGATTAGTTTCATTCCAAATTAGGCTAAAAAAAGTACTATGTGCATGCGCCAAAATTCTTCCAATTACTTATAAAGTTTTAGAGTTGCGAACGAATTTTAGATTATTTTGATTTTCTTTTTGTGATTCTTTTGTTGTTAACGGCGGCTTTTTTTTTATTCGATGAAATTTAAAATTTCATAGAGTGCATGCATGAATTAGTTACGTATTATGTTTAAGTATGTAAGACAATTTAGCACATCTTCAATGAAATTTTAATATCCCTTTATAAAGATTTTATTATAATATCCTTTATAATTTTTTTTTATTGTAATCACCAAAATTAGTTAACGTTAATACTATGTAATAGATTTGATTGACAATCATTTTCCAATTACTGGATCAAACCTGCTATGCGCATACAATCATCGTAAATTCGATTCAAACTTGCAGCACAGCAGTAAACGTAAATGGTAAGGAGTCATTATATACAGCGAACGTTCTAAAACCTGTAAGAACACGTTTTCTTATCATAAATCTGTACATTCGTCATTTAATAAAAATTGGTTCCTTTGTGTAGATTGGGATCACAAACTACTAAATTATTATTTACGTACTTATGTACTGTATTTTGATAACTTGTATGTTTTATCAATTTTCATATGACTAACAGTTGAAGAATTACTGAATTACTTCTTAAACGAATAAAATAAGTTAAAATTTAACGATTGTAAAGCGATCTACACAATTATCTAAAATCTGGGATCATAAATACATACTACAGTACTGTACGTACAGATTCAAGAACTGCATAAAATAACCTCGGTGATCTTTAGCTAAAATCAGCTCAAGCCATTAGAAACCGTCATATGGATGATCGATTGTGGCTTAGCCATTTAACATAACATCGTGCTATCTGTTACAGACAATTTTGTGTTTTTGTTTATGCAGATTTTTGATTATAACTTTTTTTATCTATATACATTATCTTGGTGCATATGCATACTACGTTCAATAAATTTTATTTTTTATATGTCAAACCAACTTCCTCAATATACATATCTTTGAACCTTGTTCGTACACTAATCATAATGAACGATCATATAATTAGTATAAAAATTCACAGTGAATATTAACAAACATATAAGTTCATATTGTGTAAGTATTAGTATATTAATATACATGATATGAGCCGGTTAAGGATAATTCATAATAATAATAATTGGGCTGGAGCGGAGGGAAACGGAGTGTAAGTCCTTTCTATGGTCTACTAATTTGGGTCGATGTCCGGCTC